TCTCTCTCTCTCTCTCTCTCTCTCTCTCTCTCTCTCTCTCTCTCTCTCTCTCCACTCTCACCCCGGAGAACAGTTTGCAACCACTGAACCAGATAATCCGTATTGTTTCTCCAAATTCTATGTCAAAAGTTTCCTAGATTCCAATAATTTTTGAACAGTGAAGAAAATTGCTATGGCTCAAATGTCTGGCCCCTCCAAAACTTTTATTGAAACTTACAAATTGCCATTGTAACACTGTTGAGAGGTGGGACTCTTAAGAGGTGATTAGACCATGAGGACTCTGTCCTATGAATGCCATTACTAGAGTGAGTTCCTTATAAAGGATGAGTTCAGCCCTCTCTCTTGCCCTCTCTCACCCTCCCCTTGCCCTTCTGCCATACTATGATTTCTGTCACATTTTGACCCAGTAAGAAGGCCCTCATCAGATGCTGGCACCTTAGAATTGGACTTCCCAACAAATTCTACTTGTTATAATTGTCCAATCTGTGGCATTCTGTTAAAGCAGCACAGATGGACTAGAAATTAATGAAAGGTAGAATAGATAGATAGATAGACAGATAAATAGATAGATGGAATGGATGAGCAGAATGGTGATATTCTCTGGGGTCTAAAATTTAAGGAATTCTCAGTTGTTTCAAGTCATTGCTGAGAAATACTAGAATATGTTGAATATTAGAATATGTTGAAATTAGATTTCGCTGCACAGTTACATAGATGAGCTTCAAAGCAGATTCTCTGTTTGTTTTGTTTTGTTTAAAATATGGCTGCCCATCCCCTCCCTTGGAGACCAAGTGAGATCCTTCCGTTGAGAATCACGGCAGCCAAGTCTTTCTAGCATAGAAGAACAGATGGTGGGAAATAACACCAGGTGATCACCAAACCCTTCTTTCACCAGTTTGTCATCCCAGACTTACTTTAAACACCCAAAGAAAATCACTTGTCCCTGATTAAATTGTTTAATCATCAGCCTTAACATTGGTGTTCAACATTTAAACCTTATCTTCTGTGACTATGTCACCACCATTTATGGTTTGGTTTTGGTTGGTTTTTTGTTCTTGGTTTTGAGACAGGGTCTGGCTCTGTCACCCAGCCTGGACTACAGTGGCATAACCTAGGCTTACTGCAATCTCCGTCTCCCAGGCTCAAGTGATCCTCCCCACTCAGGCTCCTGAGTAGCTGGGACTACAGGCGCGTGCCACCACACCTGGCTAATTTTGTTGTTATGGTTGTTTGTTTGTTTGTTTGTTTGGTAGACACAGAGTTTCATCATGTTGCCCAGGCTGATCTCAAACTCCTGGGCTCAAGCCATCTGCCCTCCTCAGCCTCCCAAAGTGCTGGAATTACAGGCATGTGCCACTGTACCCAGCCTATGTTCTTAAGATATAAAAATGAAGCTTGTCCTATGCTTTGTTCATTTATGAAATAACAATCTTCTCTTAACAATCTGCCCCCCAAAAAAGCATTTTACGTAAAAACTTCAAATGGTTTTCCCCTGGAATAAGTAAAGCATTTCCAATTCTTGTTTTGATAAATATCACCTAAATATTCAAATATTAGGGCTTCAGTTTTGGTATTTTTTTAAGTAGTGAAGCAGTAAGTAGGACTCTTGATTGAAAATGTTTGTTTCTGGTGTTTTTTCTCTTAATTGACTGATTTATTTTACTCATCTTTTAAATATGAAAGGTGCATGAAATATACTAGATGGGTTCTCTACTTACCAAAGCTCAAGATATAAAATCAGTAAATGTGGAGCTGCCCTGACTGGAGTAGAGTAGGTAACTTCTGAGGGGCTTCTCCACATCACTGTTTAAAGACCCCTACATGCTCATGTTCTTTAAGCATCCCTCCAACTGTAGCATTTTATGATTCTACTGTCCCTGAGTAGCTAAAATTGGGTACAAAAAGGAAATAAGTGTTCCAAGAACCAAATGAGGAATCAGAAAGCCACATTCATTCCTGGTTGGTTAAAGCAGCCATTCAGCTTACCTTGGACCCCGTCACTCAGTGTCCTACGCCGGCAAAATAGAGGAAGTATGGGGCAAAAGAGGGTCTGAATGGGAAAACACCACCCTTTCTGTCAGTAGTTCTGCTGTGCCTCTCTCAAAGCACCACACCCACTCCAATACCAAACGCCAGGCAGAGTTACACAGTGGAAAGCCGATAAAGCATGACGTCAGTAGGGGCCGGGTGAGCTGGGGACAGAAGACAGGATGGGGCAGGAAGCAGAAATCCCAGAATTCGACAGGCACAGTAATGGGATGGCTCCAAACCATCTTCCCGAACCTCAGATGTGCCAGTTTGATTGGATGCAGTTAAAAGGAACAGAAGGATATGTGAATAAAAACCAAAACAAAAGATGAAGCTACACCATAGCCTTCCCAAAGGGCTGCCCTGGCCGCAGGGGCAAGAGGGGGGCCACAGCCCGAAGAGCAGGTCCAGAGTCTGCCGAGTGACTCCCTCCTCCACCCCTGCTCCCCAGAGCTCAGCTGTGCCTCCTGCACCTCGAACCCATTCGAGTGACTGTTGGGTTTTTCTGGTTTTGTTTTTGACGGAGTTTGACAAATTGTTATACGAAAAGAACCAAAGAAGAAAAGGGGAAAATTTATTTATTCAGCTTTAAAGACAAAAGGATTTATCCTTTTAATTGAGCCAGACAAAGCCCTTTCAAACTCCATTCAGCACACAGGATCAGCTCTCATGCCACCCATGTTCCAAATGCCTCCCCTGTTCCTGCTGCAGCCACTTCACTCCCCCGGCTCACAACCACCCCTCCCTGCCGCCAGGGCTGCCCCAACTCACCATTCCCCTGGCCTCAAACCCACACACATCCATCTAAAAGAAACGTGTATGAAGACCCAGCAAACACACACTCTCTCACAGATACAGCTACCCCACCCCTCATTCAACTTTCTGACAGGTAGCAGCGATGTCAGCCAAGATACCCAGCTTGTCTCACACCCTCTTCCAATGAAGAGGGTGGGGCTCAGCCCCTGTGGAAGGGCACCTGTGGGTGACCATTATTCCACCTGGCAACCCCACCTGAGCCGCAGCCGACTGGGCTACAGCCAATGACCCTGAGTGCGGCTGGGTGAGAGGGAGGGTGAGCAGATTCATTTATCTCTTACGCACTGCAGATGAGAGACTTAGGCCATATTCACTCCCTCCTCACGCCCTCCCTGGGCTGAGATGCATGTAACTGGCTCCGTCTCACACACTCTTGGATTGCGTCTTTTATCCTCCCGCCACAGCCTTTTTCCTTGGAAGAGCAAGTGCCAGAAGATAAGCTTCTGAAACAAGTCAGATTCTTTCTGGGAGCGGCGTTCCCACCAGCCTGGAGAGCTTTCACACAGCTCAGTGTCCTGAACAGGCCTGTGCAGTCCATGGAAGGAAGTGCGATAACAAAGGAATGCAGCTCTGGGCCACAGGCCCCCAAGGGAAGGGGAGAGAGGAAGAGAAAGGAGGAAGAGCAGAGCCACAGGTCAGGAATTATTATGCCTCTGTGACACTATCTGCCTGTGACACTGAAGTCACACATGACAGTAGGCTTTGAATGCAGGACTCCATAGAACCCACCAAGTCTTGGGTTGAAAATCAGCTACAGTGCTCATCCCCAGTGACCAAGAAAGTCCCCTGTGATACTATTACAGGGTAACCAGTGATTACGGGACCAAAGTCCTACTCCCTGCAGCCTCCCCAAATTCCAGCCCTCCCACTGGATTGGCCTTGGGAATGTGGTCTGTTAAGATGTTATTCCTTCCTCTCATTGTCTATGAAGGAAGTTTGATTCCATAAAGATCTTGAGAGTGAGTCTTAACTCACCTTTGGAGAAATTCGAAACACAAGAAATTACCTCCTTTCTGTTTTTGGAAGAGCTACAATTTCTGCTGGTGAAATCTCAGATCTTTGGGGTTTCCTAAAGACCCTGGTTATGCAGTTCTTGACAAAGTTCCTAGGCTTCAATGAAGAG